CAAATGTCTTGTCATCTTTGATTCACATTGCTGGATTGTCATACATGAAGTTGGAGTCCTTACAAAAATCTGAACTTAATTCATTCGTTTAGTTTTTTACTCGTGCTTTAAATTTGTTTGTTTAATCATTGGATTCAAAACCCCCCTCTTAATCTTTTGTGAACAAATACCTTACGCAAAACAGGTATAGACTGATTGTCCCGTGTCTCTGTGGATCGACCCTACTTGCCTTGTACTACATTTCTAGTGCAATATAGTGGGATTATTTTGGAGTATATCGTACCCCTATTATTTGTTGGGTCTGACACGCCTAACAAACGAAAGCGTCAAATGTTTTTGGAAAGGGTATTTTGAAAGAGTGCCTTAAAGGCAATAATGTTTTTGAAAGAAAAGAACGTTTTGTAAGATCGAATGTTTTGAAAATATGATTGAAATGTTTTGAAATATAGATGCTTTACTTTTGAAATGATTTTATGATACTAATGTATGAAATGTGTAAAACATGGAAAGTAATGAAAATAAATGTAAAGTAATGAAAATGAATGGAAAGTAATGAAAGGAATTGGAAAGTAATTAAATGAAAACTGTCCGGGACATGATACCTCGTAAGAGGCTCTGGAGGAATCTATCAGGGTGGCACCTCCCCTTCGCGAGATAGATGTCCTAATGGAAATGATGCCTTGGTGGATTGATTTGTTCTTTCCACATTGGTCTAGACTTGGTAGTGGTTCCTTTATTGGACGTAGACCCTAAGTATAAAAATGGAAACGGTTTAATACCGGAATTAGCCCTTAATGATAAAAGAAAATGAAATATGGAAATATGGCTTTGAAATGAAATGAAAGGAAAGATATGATACAATAAGTGTGAAATGATATTTATGACATGTATGAAATGAGTTTTCCTTGAAAATGCTTGAAAATGTTTTGTGGTCTAAAACTATGTTTTGCAAAGATGAAATGTTTTGGTAAAAATGTGATAAATGTTTTGGGTCACAAACCAATGTAGCTCACGAGACATTTTTGTCTTACGTATCTCTTTTTAATGCCATGTATTCCAGGTTGCAATTAAGGAGAAAATTGATAGATGGGAGTTAGAAGATTAAGAGATAGAGAATGTAGTGGAACTTGTTAAGTTCCTTATTATTTTGTATTGATGTAATTCTTATTTGCTTGCTATGGATTTATTGATGCTTAATGGTAACACCCAACGCTTTAATTTATAAAGGTTTTTGTAGGACCGGTTTTTGTTAAATGTGGGTTAATACCCGAATGTTTTCAAAACCATAGCATTTTAAAGTTTGAAAATTTTTGGGGTGTTACAATGATAATCAATGTTGAAATACAGTCTCGTACCCAGCTCCTCATGAAATCTCTGCGAGAACCGAGAGATAAACCGTACATCACGGTCGGAGACGATAGAAACCGGAACACCGTGGTGGGCAACAACCTCGCGCACATACACGTTGTCCAATTTCTCATCCGCAGAACTCTACCGAATGGTAAGAAAATGGGTACTCTTGGTCAAACGGTCGACGATGACCCATATCGCATCCTGGACAACTTGGTGACGAAATCCATAGTGATATGCTCCCATTTCTACATGGACATCTCCAAAGGTTGAAGCTTTCCTTTTGGCCTCTGGTGCTCTACCTTGACCATCCCACAGGTCAAGCATCTCTCCACATATCATGCTATCTCCCGCTTCATGCAGGGCCACCAATAACTAAGTCTCAAGTCCCGATACATCTTTGTAGCTCCAAGATGGATTGAGAACCTGGACTTGTGCACCTCGTCCATCACTGTATGTTGGACCTCACTAGAAAATGGGACCCAAACCCGACCGCAACGGGTCAAGAGTCCGTGACTATTGGTAGAAAATCTGTTAATCTCACCTTTGATCCTCTCATTCTTCCAATTTTCTCTCTTGACTCCCTCGGCCTGAGCCTCCTTGATCAAATCCAGAAGTGGGAAGTCGATGGTCACCCTCAAACAGTGCTCTCGGTCAGGAGTACCAGCCGCCTTGTGGCTCAAAGCGTCGGCGAGCACATTGGCATTCCCCGGATGGTAGAGAATCTCACAATCATAATTCTTGACCACATCAAGCCATCTGCGCTGCCTTAGGGGGAGATTGTTAATGCATAAAAAGTGAACCTCTAGCAATCCAAACCACAGAAAATCCAAAGTCACTCAAGTTCGAGATGTGAAGATGTTCTGAAGTTCCTTTTGTATCCAAAATGAAGATATTCCGAAATTAGAGTTTGTACAAGCATTTAATGTTTTGTTTGTCTTTAGTTGATGTAACAATTCTTTGGACAAATTTAGAAAATCTTTTGAGTGTCAGAATTTTCAAACACCTTGTATTACCTAGTCCTTAGAATGTTTCTCGGTTTGTACCATGTTCCTCTTTTACTATTTAAGGAGTGAATATTACATGAATTATGTACCAAGAATAGAAGTAATCAATATTCTCTTTACATCATTTCAAACTCTCTTGCAAGTCAATTTCTTTCTCTTACATTCTACTTGTTCTAAATCGTCTTTACTTTGATTATACTCAATCTTACTTAATTTTATTGCTTGCATATTTTGTTGAATATTATATTCAAGTCTCGACTGGTTTACCAGACTTTACTGGAACTACTTATTAGAAGCAGACATTGATCTTAAAGGTTAATTCAAGGTTTGAGTTTTCAAACTTTGTCCGCGCATTGAATGCTTGTTCTCATACATTTTATGACCCTTAAACAACTCCTAGAGAATCACGACCACTTACACAATCACACCCCATTTACATGATCTTGCGTTCTCCCAAGGTCCCAAAATTGTATCGTACTTCATTAAATATGATCCTAATGCATTTTTTTGTATTTACACGGTCGTGTAAGTCTCTGTATCTTTATATGATACCTCCCTTTACTTCCAGAACAAGAAGAGACTTTTCCTAAACAACTTGCAGGGGCATTTTTTTTTTGTTTTCTAACGTTTTCCAGCGATTTATGAAGATCTAAAGACTGCGACTCGATTGGTTAGTTTGGTTTAGTATGATTTAATGTTTAGATTATGGTTTTGATTCATTTTTAGACATATCTAACTAAAAACTCCAAATTTCAATTTCGCACAAACTTGACTAATTTTACGTTTAATCATTATGTTGACTGTTTACTTGTGATTTTGTCTAGTTTTATCAATTATGTTCTTCATAAATGTTTGGTTATAATTTTTTTTTGACTATCACATGATTTCGAATTTAAGCATTCAAGTTAAACACTTGATGAAATCTGTAATTGTTTTAATTAACTGTTAATAAGTAACAAATATCATATCGGTTCCGTGCTAACATTTAACTATGGTATAAAACTGATTGAACAAGTTTTTATGCTTTCGAGGTTATGAGAAGTATTGAACTTTATTGAGAATTTTATACAAATCGTAAAGATGCTTTTATGATTTAATTAAGAGCTTATTTGATCAAGTTAGTAAAAAGTTAGATTTAACTCAAAGAACTTGTTTTGGCCAAATAATTTGGTAAAATAAAATTGTTAGAGTTTGTTAATGATTTTTAGTACCAATTAAGAAAAAATGCATTTTGAATAATTAAGTTGAAGATTATTAGCAAGATTATGATAGTCACCGAGGAACTGAACTCGTTTTTGTCATTCAATTTTATTAGTTTTGTTTCATGCAAATTTATTTTTCTATGTTATGTTTTGGACTATTAATTATGCAAGGCATAAAGACAATAATTTTATGTTGTGTCGTGTTGATTCGACTATGGTTTTCTGTGTTACCCTTTTAGTGCAACCAAGTAGTGAAGTTTGTTATTTGTTTAGGTTTGATTCATCTAACAATGTGGGGAGAATAAAAATAAGCCTCTAAATATTTTTTTACGTACTATGATAAGATTTGACACCTAATAGACTTATTATCGCTAATTATATTAGTGACTATGATTAAAAATATATAAAATGTTTATTTACAAGTAATTAACATGATGACTCGAGTTCATGGGTTGTTTTGGACTTAATTTTTAGGCTTATTCAATATTTATGGTTGAATTTAGGGCCGTTGGTGAGATGATGTTTTCTAATGGGCTTATTTTTAGCTAGAGTAGTTTTCAACTTAACTTTTGGGTTTAGTTAATCCAGGGTTTCTTTTGATTATTTTAGGGTATATTTATTATTATTTAATTTCCTTTTTATTAATTATTTCTTCATGAGGGTTTAGGATTCCTACTATATGTATAGAGTTATTATATATAAGGTCAACCCTCTTTTGGATTATTCGAGTTATCTTTTTGAGATTTGAGTTTACAAATTTACAAAATTAGAGATTAATTTTTCATAAGAAAAGAAGACTATTTCCATTCCTTTGTCTATCTGTATCATTGTTTATTGAATTTCCAAGAAATGTGGTGGGCTCTCATGATGATTAACGAGAGCATGTGCCAGCGTGCCTGTCTTTGTGGAGTTCATCATGAACATCGATTATTACAAGATACATTACTTCGAATTCAACCTCATTGTTTGTCCTTATATAGAATGATAGAATCCTTCCTCATAAGGCATTGTTTGTCTTACATTGTTTCCCTATTGAGAACAAGTCTTTGAGGTTCTCTTTACATGTAGAAGAAGACAATACAAAGCTGCAGGCCCATCTAGAAACATGTTGAACTTCACGTATGCCTGTACTTTTTTCCACATCCTTCTCCAAAAGTATTGAAAATTTTCCAATATTAAATTTCCCTACTTCATGGCAGAACTAATTAATGTCGGGAGTTGAATCAACTCCTAAAGTCAAAAAAAAAAAAAAAAAATCGTTACTTTTCATCGTAAAGATGATTGTTTTGTAGAACAAACTGTGACCATATTTTATTAAGTTTTATATGACTCTCAGGAAGCGATTCCAATATTAAATTTCCCTACCCTCTTCATTTTCTGCCATTTTCTTTTCTTTTAGGCTCTTTACTTCATGTGATGAATTGCACAAGTTTTATTGATTGTCAGATTTTATTTCTACCCAAGATAACAGTATAATTGTCCAGTATAAACAACACGCGATTTACATTCAGATGTTAAAGTTCATTCACAAAAGGCCCTTCCCTTAATCAAGTTGCAGCAGTTGCTTCTTAATCATGTAAATGGGCAATCATGCATTTGCCACAACTCATAAACACACATGGACATTTGATCAAAAATGTTTGAGCTTTCTTGATGAAAATCTAGCTAGCTAGCTAGCTTATCTTGGATGGGAAAAGGGTATCCGCAGAATCATCATCCAAGTTTAAAGTATCATCATCATCATTCAGATTCGTGGAGTGGTGATCATCATGCGAAGATGCGATGTCCGAGTTCTGGGACTTATTAGCTTTCTGTTGCTGATGCTGATTAAACATCTTCTTAAGTTGCTTTGCTTGTTCTTCTATTCTCAACTGTAAGTTCCTTTGAATCTGAGATTGAAAGCAGTTTTTGTGGTCAAACAGTCTGATTTTTAACTTCAAAATTGACATCTATTCTTTAAACTTGTATCAAGAACTTGAGAACGAAACCAAAATTGTCACCATATTTTAAGATACGGAGTAATCATAGATTCGTACCTCTAGCTGCTCATGAAGTTGCCTCTGGACAGCAAGTTGCATTTGTAGTGCATCCTTAAATTGCATGCCACTGATGAACAAGAGTTTCAGATAAACGATAGAAAAGAAACGAAACATTTATCAATTTTAAGACAGAAATTGTAAATATTATTACGTTATATTTTCAATCTGCGATATCGTATCCATGGTAGTTCTCTTCTCCGAATTTCCTACAGACACAACAGAAACCTGATGATTAGAAATTCATAACACATTTCAGAAGCATATATTGAATGTACTATAAAAACTTAAAAGTTAAAGCGAACCCCATGATTGATTACCTTTTCCAGATTCTGGTAAGTATTTTGCTATTCTGTATTTCTGAAACACCAATCAAAACTCAATCAGAATAAAAAAATCTTGTAAGCTGCTTAAACAAGAAGCTAGATTTGTTCGATGCTGATGAATACCTGTAAATGACTTTTGACATGAAATATCGTCAACCCTTCGGAGTCCATAAGTTTCAGTATCGCCTTTGGCGTCGCCTCTATAATAAAGTTTGAAAAAACCACATACAGATTAACGAATATTCAAACATGTACATGTAAAAGTACTGTTTATATATACAAGATAAATTAATCAGGTATTAGGTATATACTTACTTTCAGCACCACCTAAGCAACTGACACACTCCACAAACCGATCATGGAGATCTTGAGTCCATCGGATTCGTGTTTTACTTGGCATAACGTTTCCGGGATTTGTACAGTTGACGGAATGTTGCCCCGATGCTTGTCTTATACGTCCAAACTGACCCTGCTGAAAAAGGAAAGCAATTTTTTTGTATCAGAAAACAAAACGATGATTAAAGAATGAAAAACAATAACTAAATAAAAAGCTTACACCAAGATCCTGATTTCCATCAAAACAAATAGAGGGTTGTGATTGTCTCCAATCAGAAGTATCAGATTCGTCGAGTAACTTTCTTTTAAGTTCCCTAATCTGATCTCTTTCCGACTGATTATTACTGCACCTCATCTTGAACGATGATGATCTCTGGTAAGAACTGAAGATCCCATTGTCATGAGGTTGCATAAAATGATTATCAAATCTCATCTGCTGAGGTACAGAAGATACATCAGTTTCATCGTTAACATGAACAGACCGACGAACACCATTCTGGGAAAACCCTAAATATTTTTCAGTCGCGAAAACTGCAGAAGCTGGTGATCCAATCTGTTCCATGATCGTCTTACTACACGATGGAACTTCTTGTCTGTAACTTATAATCTGTTGCTGTTGATCTTCTTGAAGGTTAGCACCTCTTGCTTCGATTTCCGAGGGCAAAATGGTAATTCCAACTTGCCATGGTTGTTGCTGTACTGCTGCTGCACCCCCAAATTCTCTAGCTTTAAGATTGTAAACCATTTCATGGTTACAACCAATCTTTAAAGTATTCATTATTTCTGTCAAAAAAAAAAAAAAAGACACAACAACAACTTTTTCCAGATCAAAACTTATAGCGATTTTGAATGAACTCGTCAAGAATTTATGATCAAGATTCAAGATTTGTGCAATAAGAACACGAGGAATATCAAGAAAAAGAAAAGACCGGTGGAAGAATTAAAAAATATGGGTGTGAATAAAGTTCTTTCTTTGTAATACTCAAAAGGAGTATGCAAATATATTATGAGTACAATGGAAGACACTTCATATATATTATTCCTTGTAAGGATATAAACAAATCAACATCAATATCTTTCGATGATTCCAACTTATAAAAAATTGAAATGATTAATTTATCCAAAAAATAAATTATCTTTCCCTTCGAAAAAATTTGTATACCTTGCATGATTCGCCTTCTTGTTGATAAAATCTACAGTGTAGGAAAAAAAAAAAAAGAGAGAGAGGCTCATATTTAAGCTCCCGAGCCGATTGGTTTATGATTCCGAAAAAAAAATATTTAATTTAATTTATAATTTATAAGATAAGATAATAAGAGAATATTAGAGCTACGGCATCTATTTTTTTTCCTAAATATATATATATATATATATATATATATATATATATATATATAATTTTGGGTGAATTTTAGCATATATTCATATTCATGTTCAAATTTTTTCCATTTTATTCCAAAGCACAAACTCAATAAAGTAAATACGAATAAGCAAAACTTTAAGTGTGTTAGATTGAATTGAACCAAGAAGGGGTGAAAAGTGCAAAATGGCTATAATTTTGTTTTTTTAGGAGAATTTATAATTTATGAGTTTAGGAGATCTCAACTCCATTCCCATTTTTATATAAAAATAATGTAAAGTTTTCTCCAACCTCATTACATTTCTTTCACCATTTTGATGTAAAATAATAGTATATATAACAACAATTTTGATGTTATACCATTTATTTACAAATGATGTAAAAGTTTTATGTGTTAATTTTAGTTCCTCTAGTTTCATATTTATTTATTTCTAGTTTATTAAATATTCTCAAGTTTCATATTTATTTATTTCTAGTTTATTAAATATACTATAGTAATTACTTAATAATTTATTTATAGTTTATTACATAAGATTAGGAATATTTTAAATGTAATAATTTATTTGGTTATAATTTTGTAATAATATAATTTATAAAACTTTTATAAATAAACAAAAATGTAAATAAAGATGTAAAAACCTAAGACATTGACGAGTTATTTTTGATAATCAATAAAAGGCTAAAAAGAGTATATATCAAAAAATATACTTATTGATGAAAAATAATGGAAGACATAATATAAAGTTGAAAATTAAAGACTATTTACTATATAGGGTGAACATTGGAACTAGACTGACCGGATTGAACTGGAACTGGTTCATGGATCGAACCGCTTTGACAGAAATTAATGGACTATGAACCAGACCGGTTGAGACATACCCGGTCTAGATCATAGTTTTCCGGTTCTTATACCCGTTGTACCTGTACTATTTTAAATGTATATGGTATAACTTAATTGTTGAAGCCCTACCGAACTTAGTTTGTCTATTACTTTAAAATGAATACATGTTGGACCGAACCTATCCGGTTTTGTACTCGCACCGATTTTGCATGATTCAAAGACCCGAGATTTCGAGAACCGGACCTACTCTAAAAAATCGGTCCAGGTCAAGTCCAGGTTTGGGTTCGATTCCCGATCCAGTCTGATCCAAATGTCAAAATGCTTACCCCTACTATTTACATTATTTTCTAAATTGATTTTGGGTAGGAAATGATTTTATTTTGACATTTTGGGGTGTTTGACAAAAAAAATTATTGTTTATTAGCTTATAGCTTAGTTATTTTATAAGCTAATAAGTTAGAATGGTGTAATTTATAGAAAAATTACTTATTAATGGTTTTTCAATATATAAAACGATTTATCCAAATATTTTTTTTTAATGAAATCACTAATAAAATGTTCAAATAATCTTAGCCAAACACCCTCCGTATATTTTATCTACTGAAAATCGGAAGGTGCGCATCGGCAATTGGTAGCCCTTTCCTTTTGTTACGTGGCATCATGAGAAACATAATTATTATAAACTGACAGCTACTACTTTTTCTCTTTTCTTTTTTCGTTTCCAATAATTTCCTAATTAACCAGTTTAGAGACATATGCAAAACGTCACACGCGCGCAAAATAGAAATATATGCTTAGACTCCATGCAGTCGTTGCACTGATTTGTTTTTACAAACATTTTAGTCATTTAAATTGTATACAGAAGGAAAGTGGCAGCGCATTTTTGAATATTTGATGACACACAAAGACAGGAAATAAGTTTTAAAACTTAACCATCCAATAAGATTAATAATTATTTATTATCGATTAAACTCATGGATTTAATAGAGAAAACATCGTGCATGCTAATAATGCCAATTCACCAAAGATAAAAATCATTTTCTTATATTATCTTATAATTTATAGTTATATATATAGTTCTTGTTCTTTAATATCCAACTATATCTGTTTTTAATTCAATCGCATTAATCTCCCCCCAACAAAAGTTAAATTTACATTTTAAAACTTCAAAAATAACATATAATTAAAAATTTATTTATTAATTTATTTATTATTATTTTTTTTTGTGTGTTTATACATAAGCTAACTGTTATTCCTATGATTTTGATCACTTGATTAATTATGAGAGTGATAACATTGAGTAATAAGTACGGAATTCGAACGATCCTTGCATATTTATCCGTTGAAAGATTCAATAAACGATTTGTATTAATGTATTTATCCAAGTACAAAGCTAGTTAAATAGATTATCTTTAGAACATTTTTATTATAAAATGGGTATTTTGTAAGTAAAAAGGAGTGTACATTTTTATTATAAAATAGATATATTCATTATATATTTGTTGGAAGTATCCTTAACGGGTTGCCGAATGAGGAAAGTGTCTTGGTCTTGAAAGCCCTCATTTAGATAATAATGATCATGCCCTCTAGGGTTTTGAAAGGGTGGATAATTTTCTTAGAATATATATATATATATATATATATATATATATATATATATATATATATATATATATATTCAAATGAGAACATTTTTTAAATCGAGAACGATTGAGTACAATTTTTAACCATTCATTTTTATTTTAAAAGAAATACCCTACTTATCTACCCTCACACCCCCACCCATTTTTTTAAATTGAGAACACTTGAGAACAAGTTACATGTAGTTGTGTAATAGGTTATCATTTTTTTTAAATTGAGAACACTTGAGAACAAGTTACATGTAGTTGGTTTGTGGTGGTTATAGGTGATGGGTGGTGGTGGTGGTGAAAGGTGGTAGGGGTGATAGCTGGGGTGGTGGGTGGTGGTGGTTATAGTGAGTAGTGGGTGGTAGGTGGGTGGGTGGTTGTGGTGTTAATGGGTGGGTGATGGCGGGTGGTCGTGATGGGTGGTGGCATCATGTGGTGTTGTTTAATGGTGGTAGTTGGTGGTTTTAGTGGTGATGCTGGTAAGTGGTGATGATGTTGGTGGGTGGTGGTTGGTAGTGGGGATGGTGGTGGCGGGTGGTAGGTGGTAGTGGCGAATAATGGTAATGGGTGGTAGAGGTGGGTGGTGGTGGTGGTTTTGGTGGGTGATAAGTGGGGTGGTGGTGATGGGTAGGTAGTGGTGGTGATGGTTGGGGGTTGGTGGTGGTGGCGGGTTTTGGTAATAGTCGTGGATGGTAGGCGTGGTGGTGGAGGTGGGTAGTGGAGGCTGGTGATGGGTGGTGATGGTGAGTAGTGGTGATTGGTGGTGTGGGTGGTTGGTGATGGTTGAGGTGGTGGTGATGGGTAGTGGAGGCGGCTCGTGGTGATGGGTGATGGTGGGTGGGTGGAGGTGACGGTGGTGAGGGTGGTGTTTTTAAATTTCATTTAGCTTTGCATTTAGTTTTTGATTTAATTACAAAAGTGCCAACTTACAAATTAAAGAAAGATTTTGTTCTCAAATGTTCTCGCAATAAGAAATGTTCTCGATTGAACGCTCCTATATATATATATATATATATATATATATCTATATATATCTATATATATATATATATATATATTATATATATATATATATATATATATATATATATTGTGACATCCCCATTTTCACGACAAGAAAAGACCGATTTTGTTTATGCTTGTTTCAAAATCAGAGTAACATTTTAAAGAAAAGTGTTGCGGAATTTGTTCCCAAAATTAAATATGATAAAGATTTATCAAAGCATTTCCGAAGAAATGTATTTCATTAAAAACCTCGGGATGTCATGTTCGATACAGATCAAAAGCATAAACAGTACAATATAAGCCTTACAACATTTATTCATATATACAGGCCTATAATCCATAATCCCTCAGCCAAACATCACATTTATGCTCGAATGCCACTACCTGTAATACAAGAAATTGAGTGGGTCAGGCTTGGGAGCCTGGTGAGCACATAGGGTTTTCAACCCACAATAAACAAGTTTATTAATTTCATCAACCAACAATAACCCGATTACCCGTTCCCGTTATCCTCACTTTACGTCCCTAAAACACCTATCATAAGGGACCTAGCCTAAGGATCATCATCGGGATGGACACTACTGCTAAGGGGGTTCCTCAGCAATAAATGTCCTTAAGGCAACCATGAGGGGAATGGAGTACACCGGTGAACACATCGTTCACAAACATCTACAGGTTGCGAGCCTGCTAGCGTTCCACTGGACAGTCTAGAAGAGTCCGTGGTCGTCATCTATACTCCGCTAGACGACTGGATCACCAACAACATCGAGGTCTTTCATCATTTTACTTCATCACACCCAACTATTACATCTACCCATGTTTTACCCAACACATCTTGTAGATATAAAATACATATACAATTTAAATCATTTAAAACATGTATAAAATCTTTCATCCGACATAGACAACAAGTATTCAGACAATATGCACACATAACACGTAATTTATATAAAATACTTCATATATATGTGTAAGATGAATGTAACTATGCACTCACTTGTTAAAGTGACGACTCAAAATTCGAGCAGCGCTTCGCTTCTTAACAATATGATTTCCTTCGACGAAACCTAGTATTATTATCACTAGATTTTAGTCTAATATTTATTGCGACTAATTATTAGTCTAGATTCATCATTAACTCAGAGTCCACTTCATGATCTATCAAGTAAGGAACAACCAGGTAGGATCATATCGGAGGTAGGGTCCGTTTGGTATACGAAGTATACTGTTTAGAAATCCCACTTTAAACACCTCATTAAATCACAGCCTAGACATCATTCCCGTAAGTAGATCAATCAGTATAACGACTTTGAATCACTGATAACTCTTATTTAT